TTGAATTATCAAATACTGCAAACTCGGGTATTCTTAAAGATATTATAAAACACATTACTATTACATTAAGTGGAATGTGAGGATACTGTACTTATCCCGAGGAAAGCTGGTCCTGATATTGTAATATCAAGTACTGTAAACTTTGACAACTTGTCTCAAGCTGTGTTTTGTAAACTTTTCAGTGATCCTGATCCTTGTCCAGTCCTGCGTGGGTTTGAGAGGTACGTAGCTTTACCAGCTGCAGTTCACGTATGGCCTTCATCTCTCGCTCGCGACTAGCCGAGATTTGATCCTCAGTATCTAACAGTCGCTGAATAAATCTCTTGATTTCTAACTTATCCTCATGCTGCAAAATTATTATTTTTCCCTTTTTACTACATTTATTTCTGTGTCACTCTAGTTGACAAAGATGTGCATATACTAATCTTCATTTTAGCATGCCTTTCAAACTGATTTTCATCCCGGATGGTCATTTTAACCAAAGACCCCCGTTCTTCACATTTACATTTCAGAGTTAAGTAATGGCGTTTGCAAATCAATTGTGTTGCAGCTCATATTTTTTGAGTGAATTTGTTTTACATATTCACCCCTTATTCTATTTTACATAAAACTGAGACATTAATACTAAATTTCACGTTCACATTCAATTTATTTCTTCCAATTAATGTCCTAATCACTTGACGAAATATATGGAGATAACGAACAATATTCAAGCTCATAAGTCAATTAAACATTACAAAATAGGAGCAGAGCAAACACGGACCTCCAAAACATCAGAGGTGGGATCAGGTGCCATGGAGAAGTGAGCATCCCCTGCTTCTTGTCATGTTCGGAAAATAACGGAATAATCCGTCGACAATTCAGCATGTAAATAATGGCCTAACAACTAGTATGAAAAACGTCAGTCAGCATTTGACTCAATGATAAATTGTATTTGCTGACAAGGTCATTGTATCGACCAAAGAACTTACGAAATGATGAATTTAAACGAGACTGCTGATATTCTTGTTTCATCAACTTGTTTGTCAATAATTTACTTCGTTTTAGAAATTGTAGATACGTAGAGCGTACTCTTGCGTATCGAATCAACTGAGAGATATAAACCCCGTATGCAGGTAATGAAAGTATAGTGCTGCATAAGTAAGGGAAGTTGACGATTGAAAAGTTAAAGTCATCACGTTTATCATAAAACTTAGTTGTTAGATTACCATTAACGTCTATCTCAAGTAAGATATCCAAATATGAAACAGATGTGTCAGACTCTGTGGTATCTTTTATCTCAAGCTCACCGGGATATATCGTATCGACATAAGAATGGAGATAACCATTGTTAATTGACAATACGTCGTCGATATATCTAAATGTCGAGTTGAAGGCCAAAGCAAGTGTTTTGTCTTTTCACGTATAAGACTTTGGACAAATTCTGCTTCATATGAATAAAAAAACGTCTGCTAATAACGGGGCGCAATTGGTACCCACGGGAATTCCATAGTTTGTTGGAAGACCTGGTCTCCATAAACCACATAGATATTGTCAATCAGAAACTCAAGCATCTTTTTAATGTCAACTTACAGAGTACTTGTGTGTACAATCAGAATGTTTTTTTTAACAACATAATTTTGCAAGTGACCAATGACAAGGTAAGTAAATTTACGAGTTCCATTTTTATTGAAAAAGCAGCTGTCAATGACATCAAAAAGCCTGGACTTTTATTTATCTTGGGGAATGGTTGTGTATAAAGTTGAAAAGTCGTTAAGTTTTTAAACTGTTGATTTTGGTAAAATCTTGTGATTTCAAATTTTCCAAAAGTTCCTTGGACTTTTTAAGTTTCCATATTTTGATCTACACCACTTCTCGAATATTTTGTTGCACACTACTCTTGAAGTTTCTCCTTCATTACTGTTAATTTCTTGATGAGGAGTAAAGAAAGAGGCTTGGTTGGACATTTACTGGAACGCTATATATCTTTTTTGTAAGGATTTTTATGAAGTTTCGGAATCCAATAAAGATATGGTAATTCAATTTCATTTTGGTTGTATCGGAATATTAAAAATATTCAAAACTGACATATGATTTTGAAGAATTTCTTCTTTGGAAAGAGAGCTATTAATTGATGTAATGATATAGACTCACATTTAGTCTTGTGTCAAGTTTAATGTTACAGTAGTTCCATTAATTTTTCTCACCGCTTTCATTTTCTAGTCGTCACTTCCCTTTGAAGTCGTCTTTGTGATCGGCGTTCTGTAACTTTCTCCGTGTCTCGAATTCTTTCCATCTAATTTATTAAATCTTTCAATGATTTGACCTCCGGTCTGATATGTTCACTTTCGGACTTCACTCGAAAAATTTGATCGCGGTCATGTTCATAATGACGTGTAATTACTAACTTCTGAAGCTGTTAAAGTTTTAAAAACAGCATGAAATTCATTCTTCATTCTTGAACAATTTTATGATGACAGGTATCTGACTTAATTAAAATGTTGATAACTGCAAATGATAAACTAAATGGTAAAAGGTTTTTATGAATGATTTGATATTTTGACTTAATCAAGCCTTTAAGACATTTCAAGGTCCTAGGACCATAATTCCTGATACGAATGTAACACTACAAGTTTGAACACAGAATACCTGTCAACCCCTGATATATGTATTACAAAAATAATGCAAAACACTGCTAACAATTATTAATGGATAAAAATATTTTTTATGTGCTTTTTATTGGAAATCCAGATTGAAGTAGCCTTATGAAACATGTATTAAACATAAGTAAATGAGAGTTCGGTAAATTTAAGCCACTTGCATATTACAGGAACAAAATTTGTCATTATCCAGCATCTAAAAAGGTTGTCGTTTTGCTATCTTAAAACCATTAATAAACCCCTTATATTTTCCCCACAAATAGCAAAATAAAGTCTCCGAGATATAAAAAGAAATAAAATACAAGCAGTGTTTAAATAATTCGTTTTAGCTGAAGTTTATCTGCAATGCTTAAAAATCGTGGTTCAAATCAAAATTGGTAATCTTAACCCCACTCAAAAAAGAAAAAATTAAAACAAAAACGTTTAAACTGCCCTAAGTTTAAAAATCCAAAGCCCAAGGTATCACCTCGCCCTGGACAATTAATACCGTGTTTTACAGAAAGAGAAGCAGAGAATGGTCAGTTGTCAAGTTCCAAAATAGTTCCGTCATAAATACTATGAATTTTATTTTGTACACTGTACATCATATTTTTCAACACTAACTTGTATATGGTTGGTCTCGATCTTCATCTGTTCACACACCAGTCTCTCCTGCTCCAGATCATCTCTAAGTGCATTCGACTGAGACTAAATCTGACATTGCAGTCGCTTATTTTCTCTTTCCATTGAGTTTTTGAGATTAGTTTTGCTGGCACGTTCTGTTCCTGACTATTGTACGATGGTCGATATCAGCCTATCTAAAATTATATTACACGGCTTATAATTTTGTCTTTTGTACATGTACATTTCCTGAATTTCATACATGTACGAAAATATAAAAAGTTTCAATTTCGCTAAAAGACACAATGTACATGTACAATTCTTAAAAGTTGTGTATGTACAGACAAACAAATCTATAGCGGCATATAAAAGATTCTGTCTTTCTAATTATTGTACATGTACAATTCTTTTATTCAAAATTTTAATTAGCATTCTTCTACTTGACTTTCGATAACCTGAACACAAGAAATAAAAGATAATTGTCCCTTCGTAAGGGACACGTGGGAAATATCAATTAAAGTATGTTTCTGAACTTTTATCTGTTACGCACAAAGGAAGATTAACTCACAGTTATCTAACAATGCAGCAAATTACCTATTGTGTCATACAAACGCAATAAAAACTTGAGTGATATTCTCGCCTCCTCACTGCTGAAACACTAAATTAGTGTAGAGACTAGAGAGACAGAGAAACAGGAGCATTGTAAGATGGTGAGTATCAGAAAATCAGAAAACTGGTTCTGAAGTATGGAGTAAAGCGGGTACCAGACAAACAATCTAATGAGGTGTGTTTCTTTTTAATCACATACATACAGTATATATATACACAAAATCTTCATACAAACTTTATGTATCTAGATAATTATTTGCAGGTTTCTAAATGTAGATTTATTTCTAGGACCCGACTAAGTACATCCTGGTCCAAGACAAGCCAGCTGACTGTGTTTTGGACGCCCTGGGTTTGATGGAAACGTACAGTAACACCGAGTACGAACAATAAATCTATCTCTTCAAGTGTACGGATCTCATTTACAAAAACATGGCAGGAATACAACATGTCCTGGCTATTTTTAGTAGCACATGATGATAACTAAAAGTATAATCAAAGTTCTTGTCTAACATTTGATGAAATCTGTTATAGCTTAGTCGGTAAGCTAAAAAAATGGAAATAAATCAAAACTACATGTGAATGCACCAAAACTGTTTATGTGAAAGTCCCCCCCCCCCCCCCCCCAAAAAAAAAAAAAATTAAATAAATGAACAAAAAAAAAAAAAAAAAAAAAAAAAAAAAAAAAAAAAAAAAATAAATTAAAAAAAAAATAAAAATAAAAATAAAGTCAGCAGTTCGAAAAAGTTTTCATCCAAAAGAACAGTGGAAATCTTCTCATAGTCAAGTTCAGTTTGCAATGGGAAGTACTGTTTTCAGAGGAAATAATTATTTTAAATTGGGTTTGAAATAACCTGGCAATTTTATAAAGAGAAATCTGATATAGTGCTTTGTAAAACAAAAAGATGGGGGGGGGGGGGCTAGGGCTTTGTTCTTCATAAAACCTTATATTATCTTAGAAATTGAACAACTAAAACATTTTCAGAAGCATACACATTGAAGTTTCACTTATTTTCTCTGGACATTCATTATTTTTTAATGAAAAATGATAAGACTGAAATATGTATTATTGCAAGATTCAATAGTGCATCATATTGACACATCAGTAATATTAAAAAGTTCTCTAATTTATAGAATACAACACAGTAATGCATATCACTGTAGATATTTCACTTTCTTCACTTGTCTATTATTTCTTTGAGCAACAAAGAGATTGTCATATGTATCTGTACACAGTCCCATGGGATCACTTAGTTTACAGTCTATGTAACGGAGGAACTGTCCATCCTGGTCTATGATGTGGACACAATCATTGTTATAATCAGCCGTAAGGATGTGATTCTGACTGTCTGTGGTTATTCCTCGTGGATTGAATGGTTCATTCTTTGGAGCAGGAGTATGTCCAGTGTACCTAAAGCTCAGTTTCCCTGCCTGATTGACCACCACTACTGCCCTAGCCGTATCGTCAGACACACAGATATCAAGGTTCCTGTTTTCAGTTATGTATCTAAAACAAAGAGAGCTAGGAGAATATAGAGGGTTACCTTTATCATCAAACTGAATGGTTTGTTTTTCCGAGGAGCCAGTGTAACAGACAACTTTTGATTGATTGCTTTCATCATTGTTCATGATAACCAGGTCACCAGAGGAGGTACTACAGACATCTTTAGGTTTCCAGTTCTGTAGTCTGATCACTTCCTCTATCTTCTCATTCTTCACAATGTTCACAGTTCTTTCAACATAATCAGTGTAAACTAGATCTCCACTTTTTGTCACTGCTATGTTAGATGGCCATTCCCCTGACTTGGTTGTGATTGACTTGAGTAGTGATCCCTGATTGATGCTGTAGAGTTTCATGGTGCTGTCTTTTCCACTTGTCCAGATGTCTTCATCACTCAGACAGGCCTCATTAAAAAGGTATATTCCATACCCAGTTTTTATGGTGGTGACAATCTCTGATTCATCACGCAGCTGTTTGACTTGAGGAGAGGATCCAGCTTCTGGTGATTTCTGTGTCGTCTTCATGCTGTAGCAATGTTTATCTGATGTTAAAGAACTTAATGACAAAGCTCCAAACAGTTTATTAAGTTCTTCTCCTTGGATTTTTCTTGGAATGAATTTGGGTAAAGATAACATTATTTTGTGTGGAAGATTTCTGTATATGTGAACATTGGACATGACACTAAACAGTTTGGACAAGTCATTGGTGTTTATAGCAATTTCAACTGAACTGATTTCTTCCTTGATGTCAGAAATGTTCTTGTTTACTTCATTCAGATGTTTTTGCAGAGTTTGTAAATGTTTGTTTTTCATCTCCTCAATTTCAGCTTTAAGTTTCTTGACAAGTTTGTCAATTTCTCTGTGCCAGTCCTCTCCATGTTTTGTTACGGCTGTTGAGAGATCTCCATATTCCTTTTCTAACTGAGTCATTCTGTTTTGTACACCAGAGGCAATGTCCTGGTAGGTTGGATAAATTGTATCATTTAATTCATTTCTTTCTTTTATAATAATGTCCTTCTTTTCACCGACAACGTGCATGATTTTGGATAATTCATGACCTAAATGTTGATTAAGTGCAACACAACTGATGCAAACAGGAATGTCACATTGTTTACAGTACATTTCACATCGTTCTTTGTTATGAGATGTACATCTAGGGTAGAGGGGAGTGGATTTCCTGGCCTGAAATTTTACCACTTTATGATCATTTGATTCATCAGATATCATATGTTTTCCAACACAAGCTGTGCACAGGTTAACAAGGCATGTATCACAGTGTATCTGTACCACAGTGGTCTCACACAGGTCACATCGCATCACGTCCTGTGCACTGGTACGGTGATCCATCATTGGATTTTGTGATTGAAGCATAAAAATACAAAATAATTGATAAAATATTTATTGTTTAGATTTGAAGGCAACATAAGTTTTGTCACACCAAAGAACCACAGTGTATGCCTGAGATTAATAGCAAACATATTTTGCAGGTATACACAAGAATAGACTCATCAACATATACAAAATTCATTGAATCTTCATGTCAAATTTTTTCCCCCCTATAGTTAAAGCTTATAAGAATTTTCTTCACCGTTTTCACATGCACAAAAATGCTTTGGTTACTCCTCCTTCATTTCTTACCTGACTTCAGGAATGGTGGGCGTCCTGTTGATTATTAAGTAAGTACAGTCTCCGATCATGTGACATACCTGTGTTATCTACGTTATCTACATGTACTTGCCAGGTGTTTTTACTTCCTGGTCTAGAAGGGGATTTAAATACATGAAAAGCAATTAATCTCTGCATATCAGGATTATTTTTATGAAGATTGTTGCATGTGAATTAAATGATAAAATCACAATTTTCAATTTTAATTTAAAGCAATAGAAAAGTGATACCTCCATTGTGTGTGTACATGATCATGTAGAAAAGGAGTATTAAATTCTGCCTGAAAATTTTTTAGATTTCGTATTTTTCCTTTGACCACACTTAAGGAATTATATTATTGTGCCAGAGGCATAAATATTTAGAAAAATAAATTTTCACATGTTTAACGTGCAATAAAACATGGTGTCAGATTGATTGAAATTGAATTTGAAGAACAATTATATATCTTATTAATTTATAACATCAAATGATTTTGGAATTTTAAAAGTGTAAAAGGAGCTTTACAAGTTTTTTTGGCTTCTTCTTCTATAATAGATTCACAGTGGCCACTATTTTGTCTGTTGCAAAGGAAAGGAATTTCGTATTGGTTGTGTTTTGATTCAAATTACTCGTATTACATCAAAAGCATTTGGAAAGGGGGAGGGGTTGTTGAGATTCTTCTTTAACGCAACAGAAAAATATGTCAAATCAAAAGTTAAGCCACTTAATGTAAATGCACATTTGTTCAAATCATAAAATATGGAGGCCACGTATAGGTGGTGTTGCAACGCGAAATGTAATAACAACGCAAAATGTAATAAACTGAGATTATTACATTTTGCGATATTACATTTTGCGTTGAGATCCACGCAAAATATAATACCGCAAGATGTAATAACAAGATTTTTGGATTATTACATTTTGCGTTGGGATTATCGCAAAATGCAATAACGCACTTTTTGGTTGATACATTTTGCTTTACTTAATTTTTGCATGTAAGACAACGCAAAATGTAATAGACAAAAGCTAATAAAACCAAATATAATTATTTTCTGTATTGTGTTCAACATAAAACATCACATAATTGATTTATAAACCTATATTAATGGGGAAACTCAATTTATCAAATAGACAGATAGACCTATGACTATGAGGCAAATGTTACGGCTTTTCGGACATTTCTTAATCTAACTATATTTTTCTAACTCTGCTTGTAACATTTTTATTGAATACTTTTAAAACATTATCTTAACTTTGATTGACATGTCTGTTTACAAATCATTCTGTATATATCCATCACTGACATTCTTTATTACTAAAGATTGACCATTGGGGTATTAAAAGCTCTTGGTATGACGTGCATGTGTACATTGGTTAGTAAATTAGAAGTGTGTGTGTGTGTGGGGGGGGGGGAGGGGGTACATTCCCTTCTATGACCATATACGTACATAGCAAGTCTGTACCTTAAACACAGGAAATGAAGTAAAGACGTTTGCTTTTGCTAATGTAAACATAATACCTAACTAACTAAATAGGAAAATTACGGAAGCCCATTTAGGACCTATCAAAAATATTTTTGAATTCGATAGAACGAATTGTCAAAGTTGTTATAACAAATTTAATTCGTTATAACAATTTCTTTGAATTCGTTATAACGAATTCAATGTGTTATAACAAATTCATTGAATTCGTTATAACGAATTCAAAAAATTTGTTATAACGAATCAAATTTATTATAACGAATTCTAAAACTTTTTATAACAAATTAAATTCGTTTTAACAAATTCTAACATTTGTTATAAGAAATTAAATTCGTTAAAACGAATTCTACAAATCGTTATATCGAATTCACATATATTTTTCTATAGGCCCCGGTTGTTGAATTTGATTAAACGGATTTAATTTGTTATAACAAATTTTAGAATTTGTTTAAACGAATTTAATTTGTTATAACAAATTTTAGAATTCGTTTAAACGATTTTAAGTAGGGCTCCGCGTAAAAATCATGCAGGTAGCACAGAAAAGGCGCTACATCGATAATCTGCAAATTCATTAAAACTGAGTTTAATATATTCATTTGGGTCTAAAATGAATGATAACGAATGGATTTGTTATAATTCTTCTTTTTTCATATAGCTAGGGATAGGGTACTCCAGGGGTAATTTTGTATGGATAGTGTGTAAATAGTGCATATTTCAGAAAATAATTTCTTCTAAACCCAAGAAGATGTATAAAATCTAAACACATAATTACAGTGAAAATGGAAAGTGTAAATTAAATTTACGCTAATATTTTTGTGCAAACGAAGGATTGAAAAGATACAGGGTGTTAAAAATCTGGAATTTGTGAAGATTCTTCGTATGAGTTATCTCCCTTAGGAAATTTATATAGGTGGCGGTAGTTAAAAAAAATGGCGGCCTCCGTGAAAAGCTGTACTCGGCAAAGTTATTTTGATGCATCATGTGATGTTCATTGCAAATATCCGTGTGAATTGAGTAAAAATGATTGAAAGGAATTTACAAGAACAGATTGGACATAGAGCTCGTGTAAATTAAGAGGAAAAAAGTCCGTGAAACGAGAAAGTGTAGGTTGGGAATATTACTGTGATCGTGTTGATAAGGGTATCAGCAATTTTCCTTATTACTGACATCAGTATGGTCTATGTCGGAAGTTTAACTTCTAAGTTAATCCACCAGAATCCAAGAGTAAGCCCTCAGAGAGGAGAGGAGTTGCAGTCCGATTGTGTCAGCTTACTCAACTTGGAGAGGGAAGATAATGTACCGGCGCCACCGGTCATATATGGCAAGAAATTGGTACTACGTTTTTAGGTGATAGCTCAGTGTTTTTCTTTGAAGTTTGCCATTCTGTATTAATTAGCAATACAGAACAGGACTACAGAGGGCAGAGCTGATTTCCATTCTGTATTAACCCTATATACTGTCTTGTGTTAGCCAACTATTCTGTATCTAAAATACAGCACAGTCTAAAAATAAATCTGATTCAATTTATCAAAAGCAAGTACAAATAGTAAATGCTGAGTTTTTTCTTATTATAAAATTTGGAGAAATATATCCCTAGCAATGTAAAATATCAAAATTTCTCAATTTTTAAAAAATTATTCCACACAGAATCTACACGTTATTTCGATCCAAACAAAAAGGAAAATTCGCAGTTATGGAAAGCATCCTATGTTTAATAAATTTCTGAAAACCTGTTTGCTTTCCCTGCTTTTTTGGGGTCCCCTTCAAAATAGTTAAGCCAATGGATTCACGGGTGCAGCATACATTATGTGAACTTCACACAGTCAAACCCCCCTCCCCCCCATTTTCCACTCTTCTTGTGCAAACTCATTGAAGTCCATTTTGAGCATTTTTTTTTTAACATTTCATCTTAAATTTTTATCGCTGACAACTGCCGCACATCTCTTTCTCTTCGTTTTTAAATTTAATGTCACATTTCAATAAGAAAATAAAAATTCGTGACATCAAAGTTCATTGAAGAACTGTCTGTATCGCCTGCATGTGTATCTAGTTAAACTGAGATTTTAAGACACCTGAAATAAATTAGGATCAGTCTCCACCTACAGCAAGGTTAAATTGTCCACCTTATCAATTAAGACAACGTCTCCCCTGTTGTCAAACTAATCTGACTAAATCTTACGTTGTCCGTGGAAATATATATTTACTGTGGAGGCATACTCCCCATCAAGGCCTCATCTACAGAGAGAACAAACAAACACTGGCAGTAGTTTGAATGCTGCACAGCTATAAAGTGGGCGGTGCTTTTTCTTGATTGATCATGTCACAAATCATTTAGAGAACTCGACAGGTTCTGTATTGTAGATACAAATCTGGGGGCGGAGACTAGTGCTATGCACTCGTCCACCCCCAAATTTGTATCTATGATACAGAACCCGTCTCATTCTCTAAATAATACTTATTGCCCGGTTTGTTTTGCTACATAACCTTGCTAATACACATTCTTTCATTAAAACGGGTCTGTAGGAGAATATCATCTTAACAATAGAACGTTTTATTATCATATAAGACTTAGTATGAAACATTGTCTGTGCTCTCATCATTAATCAATACATGTCCCATACAACAACCATTATTTAACGTGGCCAGATTTAAGGGATTCAGTGGGAAGGCCCGGGCCATTAGCTTAAATTCTTTGTTTGCAGTTGCCGACCTATAATTTTTAGAGTGGATAGGTAGTTTTTTTAAAAAAAAAAGAAGTTATTTTTCAGACTTTTATTAGATAACAATTTATAGAGATATTCATACTTCAAGGGTTACTTAACATAAATAAGCTTCACTTGATAAAAACAAAGATAAAAAATAGAACATTTTCAATATCCTGAAAAACTTAAAAATAATAATAATACAAAATTGCTGAAAAAAAAGTTTGGGTCAGGTGCATTTTCAGTGCGTGGGTAGGCAACTGCAAAAAAATAATTTTTATTTTAGGCCCCTGGTTTATGGTAATTCAAATTGAAAATGAACATGTAAATTTTACGAATTAAAAGAAGTAAATGCTTTATGTGATAGGTTTTGATTTTTTAGCTCACCTGAGCCAAAGGCTCCAGTAAGCTTTTCTGATCACACTTTGTCAATTGTCTGTTGTTGCTCCAGGTGTCATTGTCATCTTTGTTTAAAACTTTTCACATTTTCATCTTCTTCCAGAACTGCATGGCAAATTTCAACCATATTTGCCACAAAGCATCTTTGGATGAAGGAGATTCAATGTTATTCAAATGAAGAGCCTTGCCCTCTTTCAAGGGGAAATAATTAAAGATTAGTGAAAATTTAATGAATCTTTCAAAAATCTTCCTCTCAAGAACCACTGGAACAGAAAAGATGAAACTTATGTGAAAGCTTTATTACATAATGTAGTGGGAAGTTTGTTCGGATCATGACCCCAAGGGATATGGATTGGCCGCAATAAGCAATCAAAGTTTTACATATAGAAATATATATGTAAAAAAACTTTATCAGTCTTTTTCTCATGAAAAACTGGGCCAAAAGGGTTGAAACTTTTGTGAAAAAGTGGCAGTAGCATGGGGCTTTAATGGGTGGTCAAAATTTTACTTTAAAAAAATGTAGATACTAGGTAACAATCTTTAGAAATCTTCTTCTCAAGAACTAGACATACTGGTAGTATAGGGCCATAATGGGGGATCAAAGTTTCACACTAGATAGTGATAATTCTTCTTTTTAAGAACAGCAAAGCCATGATTAGTCATACAGATACATGTATATATTGAAGAATCCTCAAGTAGTGTAGATTCAAATCTGTTGAAATCATGAACCCCTGAGATAGGGTAGGACCACAATGGGGATCAAAGTTTTACATACGAATATATATTAGACTCAGGTGAGCATTGTGGCCAATTGGCCTCTTGTTTGCTCTACCCATGTCAACATGGCACTAGTAAGAAATGATAACTAAATAACAAAATCAAGTATGGACAGAAAAAAAAAATCAACTAAGATATAAAAACCACCAAAAAGCTTGATTTATTTAATAAATATATATAATTTTTCAGACAAGGCTGTTTATGCACATTTTTAACATTACTGATGGTATAATTTGTAAAAGATATATCACTGAAAATTCTATTAGTTTTGTCAAGCTATTGCTGACTTACATTTGACTGGCCCAACAACATTTTTAATCTGAATAGGGTTGTTAAATAGGTATATTTAGTTGTCTTTATACCTACTCTCTCTCTCTCTGTATGTCATATTGCATATAAATCTAGATGAAAAATATTCCTTGTTGTTTTTCAAAATGATCAAGAACTTGTTTGACTGAAGAGATAGAATGAAAAGGGAAGACCCAAAAGTGTTTTATAACAGGTACTGTGAGAGTACCGGGTATTTGATTTTGTAGTTTTAATTTAATCAGTAGCAAGATTACAGAATTCATAACTGGTTAAAGTTTAAATTGTAATATGGTTAAAACCTGAGACATAAATGATAGAAAATATGGTAAAGATATTTTATATATTCCATAAGTTAGTAATTTGAATTATATACTTTTGAAATGAAACTCTATATCATTTTCACAGAATGCGCAAGATGGTTTGCATCATGGTTATGAAGGAAAAGCTGACAGTATTTTTGAGACAGCAAGAAAAACATCATTGCACACCACCAACTAATAAGACTCCAAAGGTGGGGGACCACATGCCATGCACATGCAACCATTTGAGATTTTACCTGAAATTACTGCATTACATACATGTAAACTTGAGATTCCATGTAAAGTAATTTATAAATTTAAAAAAAAACCCTTTAATACCTTTAAATCAATGTAGAACAATGGGTTTTAATGTGGTAAATGATAATTATATGTAACTATTATTTTAGGAATAACAAAGATTAGAGTTTAAAGAATGGATTCAATGCTGGTACTTGGATAAAGATAATCAGGCATGGACTCTCATCTCCTATGGATCTTCAGCACCTTTAGGTTACAGTTTTATATTTCACTAGAAGAGACTCATGAATAAACAAAGGACAGTCAGTTACTACAAAAGAGAAGCATTGGAGATTAGTGATATTTTGTTCAGCATTACTGCATCTTACAAAGATGTAAACTATTAAAATATTGTTTACATCTATCAATTAATGATTTTGATACATGTACCAGTAATTAATAATTTTGATGTGGGGTAAACTGGTAAAATTGAATGGAAAACAAGCAGATGACTTGGTAATGATGTGTAAAAAACATCATTCATTTAATTAATACATGCAATTGCATGCAGTTAAAATTCGGTCAAAATTCTTGTGGTGTATATTGAAAGGTGTAACCAAGAGGGAAACATAAAATGATTTTATATCATCATTAAAATAAAAGTCAAGTTGTATGTTATACAATTATTTCTGTTTTTGAGGTCATTATAATGGTTTGGCTTGCCTAGATGTATGCATTCACTGATCCTAAAGAAGGAAGTAAATATTGTCCCTCGATGGTTGTTGGATCAATATATTACCCCCCCCCCCAAAAAAAAAATAAATAAATGCAATTTCAATTTTTGTATAATACCATATGTATCATACCCATAGAGTATGGTGTGTACAAAACAAGCGTGACCTTTTGATTTGGTTGTTGGACTTTAAAAAAAAAATTTAGGATGAAAAAAACCCCTCAAAAATGGGATACTGTTTTTGTAAATATGGATTATCTCCCTTTTCAGCTTAAAATTAGAACATTTTACTGGTCATGAAAATATTTTGATTAAATGAAAAGTAAAATTGTGTTGTATTTCAAATTGGAAAATTGAGAATTTTTTTTGAAATGTCAATTTATTCTTACATGCATACCCGGTATATATTCATGATATGTGTATAGGACATATTTATTGTACTGTGACAAAAAAAGGGATATTGCCATTTTTTATATGAAACTCATCAATCGTTTTGGGAAAATAATAAACTTTGCACAAAAATGTTTTTATTATTTTATTTGCTATAGGGTATGGTGTCTATGAAATTAGCATGAACTTTTGGTTTGGCTGTAGGGTTTTTTTTAATTTTTTGATAGCTGAAAATCCTCAAAAAATTGATATTTTGCTGTTTTTGTCAATATGGACTATCTCCCTTTTCAGCTTAAAATTGGAACATCTTACAGGTCATGAAAATATTTAGATTAATTAAGATAAGTAAATAATTGTGTTGTATTTGAGTTTGGAAATGTAAAGAAATTGTGTTGAAATGTCAGTTTCCTTTTACATGCATACATATACATGTATGGCATATATTGTACTGTGACAAAAAAAGGGAAATTGCCATTTTTTATATGAAACTCGTCAATCGTTTTGGGAAAATAATAATCATTTGCACAAAAATGTTTTAATTATTTTATTTTCTATAGGGTATGGTGTCTATGAAACTAGCATGGCCTTTTGGTTTGGCTGTAGGGTTTTTTAATTTTTTGATAGCTGAAAATCCTCAAAAAATTGATATTTTGCTGTTTTTGTCAATATGGATTATCTCCCCTTTTCAGCTTAAAATTAGAACATTTTACTGGACATGGACATATTTTGATTAATTATGAAAAGTTACTATTTGAGCTGTATTTGAATGAGAAATAAACAAAAATGTGATTTATTGTCTGATTTTCTTTTAATTTCATATGAAATATTGATATTTTTGCCTATTTTTAGAGGAAATTTCAGCCATATTTTACCAAAAACAGTTTAACTGTTGCCATGGCAACCAGACACAGAATTGATAAAAAATCATTTCATTTTTTGTAGTATCTTAGCATACTCTACCAACATGCAAAGTTTGAAAAAATTCTGAAACCCTCCATGTATCACCCCCTGCATGATTTTTACACGGAGCCATACTTAATTTGTTATAACAAATATTTGAATTCGTTATAACGAATTCAATAAATTTGCTATATCAAATTAAATTCGTTATGACGAATTCAAAGAAATTGTTATAACGACTGAAATTCGTTATAACAAATTCGACAATTCTTTTTATCGAATTCAAAATTTTTTTTTGATAGGTATTAAATGGGCTTCCATACTTTCGTTTGTCCAATAGTATTTATAAATTATACATAATATGAAATATATCATTTAGCATTGAACTGGCAAGATATGTAATTTAACATCTTAGCAGTTGTATATTTACCTGCCCCATACCATGATCATGTGTTTTGTTTTCAATGAAATTACATCATGTAAAAAAAAGTTACTTTTTCACATACCATTTGTTTTCTTTTCATTTATATCTCATTTTGAAAATAAAAACATTATAATAACAATTGCTGATAGTTAAAAGTAGCGTGCATAGAAATCTTTAAAAAGTATGCATAAATTTTCCATGTTAACTTGCAAAGTACATTTACTATAGTATTCGCAAATATACATTTTGTTTTGTCTTTTTTATTGCTAAACACGTCATTACATGTAGCCCTAAGTGGTTTTCAAAAACGACATTTTATGATTAATATCTTCAAATGAACCTCAAATTTACAAATTAATATCCGGAAGTGTTTTCTCGAAAGAACTACTAGTATTTCTGTGATTTTCTTTTTACCGATATCAGCACTTTTCAAGCTGCAATTAACGTTTTGATTGTCATGGTTTAAAATTTATACCTATTCAAATTTGTGTGTAGGAAAGAACTTTTTTGGCTTAATGGACAATATGACAGTGCCTGCATGGTGCTTTTGAGTAACGAACAAAATTTTCAAATGTTTCAATGCAAAGAAATCCCAGGGGCTTAAACTCGGTCACCAAAATGTTTGATTTTTAGTTTCATGTTGTGGACTAAGTGCTTATTAAAGTCATGCAATCAGTTATTCTGCCAGTTGTCTTTGAGCCACCCCTAAGAAAAAATACTATAGTAAACTACAGTTAACTATAGTGGTAAATTTGACCCTATGAAAACAATAGATAACTAAAGTGATAACTCTGACAATTGACATTATGAAAACAAGAGTTAACTATAGTGATAACTTTGACACTATGAAAACAACAATTTACATAGTGATAACTTTGACACTTTGATTTACTATAGTGATCATTATGACACTAAAGTGATAGCTTTGAAAACTTTGATATACTGCAGTGATCACTATAAAAACCTTGATTTACTGAATTTTGCTATATATTTCGCTCAAAAGTACTTTATATCGTTGTGTGTAAGATGATAATTATAAACATTTTGTATGATGTACTTTACACATTTATATAATTCGACTTACTAGTATAAAAAGCCAACTAAAATGAAAGACAAACACTATTTAAAAAAAAGTTTTTCAAGTAGCACTCATTGAAAAACAAGGTGTTTCATTAACGAAATAAATGGAGATAACGAACAGTATTAAAGCTCAAAAGTCCATTAAACATTACAAAATAGGCGCAGCGCAAGCACGGACCACCAAAACATCAGAGGTGGAATCAGGTGCCATTTAATAGTAATTTAAAAGAATTATGGCGATATTCATTTTTTACAACCACCTTAAATGTCTTTGATTTGGGTAATCGTAAGCATGAGAATCGTCAGTCTGTGGTATTCCGCTAACTCCTTCGTAAGCACTTGAATGACTGGCACCACTCTGTCCATCAGAAGTCCCTACAGTTGCCTGATCCTCAGAACCAATTGGAATTACTGATACATCCGTACCAGGAATTGAGCCCGTGGTTTCTTTTGTGGTAGGACTTGAGGAGTGTTTTGAAGAAGGGGCTGCAAACGAATGGTTCCTACGAATGGTTGCTATACATGTTAAGAAAAAGACATGCTGAAATCATGAACTTCTGTTGTACGTTTGTTTATTCCCGTTATTATTAGTCCCCTACCGGTGAAACCAGAGGGGACTATAGGTTTCCTCTGAGTCTGTCCGTCCGTCTGTCTGTCTAGCTGTCCGTCTGTCCCTCTGTCTGTCTGTCAGTCTGTCCCACTTGGTTTTCCGCACTTTTCTTCTAAATGCTTGCAGATATTGAGCTGATTTTTGGTATGTAAGTGTATCTTGATCACGATCAACAACTCTGAAGCGCCTATGTCTTTCCATGACGTCCCAACTCTTTAAAGTTTTTGTTAGGATTTTTACAGTTATACCGTTTCTTCACAGATTGTCCTCGTCCGATACAGAGTCTCGGTCACTGAAATACCGCCTCTACCATTTACTCACATGCACTACTCGCTTGTGGTATATTTTCTGATTCCTCCAACATTTTTATATTAGAGTTTATTCAGGGGTTCTCGCGAGTATAACACAAGATTATATCGTTATCTGCTGCTCTGTGACATTCTACAACGTCATCGTTTTTGTCATTTTCAATGAGGACTACCTATCTTCTCAAATTGATTTCTTTTCAACGAAGCAAAATGTCAAGCCGTAATTTGGAAAATGAATCGATGTAACAGTTCTTAATTTAAACTCTAGGATTTTTTTTTCTCGTTTTTACTCCAGTTTACAGAGATTATGACTACCGAAAATTAAGTGTATTTGTAAATTACTAAATTTTGACCTGCGCCGCGATCCGATTTTTGCAGTTTTTAATTCTGGATAAGTTTGAAATAAATCATGATATTTTAAAATTTTTTGATTGATACATTTTAATGTCTATATATGCTATTGTACACTTCTTCTAAAACAAGTTTAGATTAACAACACATCTAGAATATATGTTCAGTAATTTTTGTATATTTTTCTTTGAATTATACAAGAAATTTCATCAATTGATATCTTTTCAAATCCCCTGGTAATGCATGCTGATTTTTTGTCCACGAACATCTGATGGCACTATAATTTTAAATTAAGAATATCTTGAAAAATTATCAGTAGGTAAGGTACGTTGCATATGTCCTTAATTTGTATGTAAGCAATTTTTATAGAATTAAAACCCCCCAATCCAGATTGTTAATACTTCGAATTCTTTCAACAATTTTCCACCTCACACTGAAAAAAGTCGACCAAAAAAGTAGATTTATTATTATACATCTAATCTTTTCATAACTTAGATTTACTTGCTGTATGTATGTTTTAAACGATACCTTCCATATCTTCTTATAATGAATATTAAGAAACAAATGGCCATCAACAATCCCAAGCAGATGCTTGTTGATTTTGGAAGTCTTGATTAAACTTTTAACTGAAATAAAATGAATTCAAATTAACTCTAGACGTATTCAATCTATATTACTTACACCATGTATATGACTAGAAAAGTTGTTTGGAAATTTTACTCATCTTTCCTCATCCCTTTCTCAATTTCCAAATGAATTTAAAATTACCGGTACAATTTACTATTTTTTTTAATAACATTTAAGGAATGTTTTTAAGTTTTGTGT